TGATACTTACTGTTAGATTATTCGGCATATCATTTGTGGTAAATCTAGTGATTCATGTTTGCTTTTTTACCCTTTCATGTTTCACCTGGAAAGTAGTAGTAGTAGTTTTTGATAACGTCGTAAAATAGTTGGATAGGTTGAGTGTTTCTGGACTAACTGAATGATAATCAATAAGCTTTGGATTACTAATTGAGATTTCTTTGGATTAAAGCTTGGATGTGTAGTCTTGCTTTTTATATTTTATTTTAACATGATTATTACATCGTATTGCTTGTGTACCAATTGATAGCTTGACAAAATGCTGAATACAATTCTTTCATTTTTCATGTTCGTGTTCTCATGCTCTCTCTTACACAGGATGGAATTGGGCTTCTGATGGATATGATCCCAGAGTGTGTCTAACTGTGTATTTGAAGTTGAGCAAGGTTTTTGGTGGTGACGATGCACTCAGAGGTTATCTTTCAACCCATCCATCCGGGAAAAAGAGAGCTGAGTTGCTGGCTCATGCTAAGATCATGGAAGAAGCAGTAGCTATATATACCATGATGTAAGAGCAGGACGCGGGGTTGAAAGCTTTCTTTTGAACAATCAGTAATCACCATGCAACTACTGACGTAGTTACACTTTCTCATTTTTTTTTCTCATCTGAAGTTGTAGTAGTTTTGTAGTTAAAAACATATACGTCAACATCTCATATGACAGGGATGATGCAGAGCTTATTGAGAAAATTGTAGAAGATATTTTTAAGAAATTGATCCTCATCTCATCATCAAGAAGCAAAGATAATGGCTTGGTTGCATAACATGCATTCATTATTGCATCCTCTTGGAGTTAAAACTAATGATGTTCGCATTGTTGGAACATGGGGTATGGGTGGTTTAGGTAAAACAACCATCGCTAGAGTTGTTTATGATAAAATCGCTAGTCGATTTGAAGCTTGTTGCTTTCTTGAAAATTTCAAGGAAGGTTTCATGAAGCATGGCAAACTACATGTAGGCAGAACTTCTATCGAGTATCTCGAACAACAAGGTGGGGAGTTCCGACGTTTCGAATAAAGGTTTCCAGGTGATGTTAAATAGCCTAGGTCAGAGAAAAGTTCTTATTGTTGTTGCTGATGTGGACGAATTAGAACAAATTGAAGCTTTACTTGGAGAGCAACATTCCTTTGGTGGTGGAAGTAGAATTATTTTAACTACTAGAGATTTGCAATTACTAAGCATAGCTGATGAGATATATAAGCCCAAGATTTTAAGTGATTATGGAGCTCTAGAACTCCTTAGGCGGTACGCCTTTAGCAAAAACCAACCCAACAGAGATTATGATGATCTCTCGACTCGTGCCGTAAAATATGCTCAAGGTATGCCTTTGGCACTCAAAAGTGTTTGGGAGCTTTTCTTGAAAGCAAAACTGTATGCCAGTGGGAATATGAGTTAGAAAAAATAAGGAAAATCCCACAAAAGGGAATTCATGATGTGCTTAAAACAAGCTTCGATGGACTAGATGACACGGAGAAGGATATCTTTCTAGATACTGCATGTTTCTTTAAAGGCATGAGAGAAGACTATGCAACTGAAAATCTGCACAGCTGTGGTTTCTATCCTGATATTGGAATAAGAGTTCTAATTGATCGAGCTCTCTTAATTTTCTCATGGAAGGGGGAACCGGAGATGCATAATTTATTAGTGGAAGAGCCTGGGAGACGAAGTAGGTCGTGGAATTATGAAGATGTTCATCATGTGCTAACTAAAACAACGGTGATAATTTTTTTTCTTATGCAATGTTTAGTAGAAAGCTTCAAATTTGACCAAAATCAATTTCTTAAGCTCGTTCGATAACCACTTTTGTTTCCATTTTTAATTTTTCATCTTCATTTTTTTCAATAATTGAAAATTGAAAACAATTACAAACAAGTTATGTGTTTTCAATTTTCAGATTTCTAAAAAAATAATCAAAACATAAGTGAAAAGTGAAAACAAAATGATTATCAAACGGTTTTTTAAGAAACAAGCATTAACTTCATAATCTAAACTGAGGTTCTCTGCTTTTTCCTTCCCTTTGATTTGCACAGGGTACAAAAACAGTTGAAAGCATAATCCTAAATTCGTGGAACTCAGATGAGGGATGCTTAAATGTTGAAGCTTTTGATAATATGACCAAACTAAGACTTCTCAAGATCAGTGCTCACGGCATTCAACACCTGAATGGGCACTTAAAGTTTCTTTCTAGTGAGTTGAGGTGCCTCTCCTGGTTTAGATTCCACCATAAGTCTTTACCATCCAACTTTCAATTCAAAAATCTTGTTAACCTTGATATGCAATTTAGTATCATTAACCGACTTTGGAAGGCAACCCAGGTACGTACAATCATCACTTACATGTATATGTTTCTTTTAAATGTTTGGGTTCTGAGATGTCTTGTTAAGTAATGCATGTTTTCTTGAATATTTTAACAAACGCCGGAAACGTTGAAATTCATCAACTTAAGTTATTCTCTATGCCTTGAGGAAACCCCTGACTTCACAAGGGTGCCAAATCTTGAGAGGCTAATTCTTCAACGTTGTATAAAGTTAGTTAAGGTTCACCCATCTATTTTGAATCATACAAAACTTGTTTTATTGGATCTGGATGGGTGCACAAAACTTAAAATTCTAGCCAGCAGCATTGGTATGCAATCTCTCAAAACTCTTGATCTTTACGGTTGCACAAGTCTTGAAATGTTTTCAGAGATTTCAGAAGTTATGGAGAAACTATCAAAGCTTAATTTATCCCGATCAAAAACAAAAATTAAAGAACTATCATCATCAATTAATAATCTCATGGGGTTGAAGCATTTGTATCTAAAAGATTGCAAGGAACTTAGGAGTCTTCCAAGCATCATTAGTATGAAATCTCTTAATACCCTTAATCTTTCTGGTTGCTCGAGTCTTGAGATGTTTCCAGAGATTTCAGAAGTTATGAAAGGACTAAAAGATCTTCATATATCCGAATCAAAAATTAAAGAACTGCCCTCATCAATTAATAAACTCACATGGATGAGTTTTTTGGATCTAAGAGATTGCACGAAAATTAAGAGTCTTCCAAGCATCATTGATATGAAATCTCTCAAAGCCCCTATTCTTTCTGGTTGCTCGAGTCTTGAGATGTTTCCAGAGATTTCAGAAGGTATGGTGAAGTTAGAAGAGCTTTATTTATCCAGGTCAAAAATTAAAGAACTGCCCTCATCCATTAATAATCTCACAGGGTTGCGTTATTTGGTCCTACGTGATTGCAAGGGGCTTAAGAGTCTTCCAAGCATTTTTCGTATGAAATCTCTCAAAACCCTTGATCTTTCTGGCTGCTCGAGTCTTGAGTTGTTTCCAAAGATTTCAGAAGTTATGGAGAAACTATCAAGGCTTCATATATCCGAATCAAAAATTAAAGAACTGCACTCGTCAATTAATAAATTCACGGGGTTGAGTTTTTTGGATCTAGGAGATTGCACAAAACTTAAGAGTCTTCCAAGCATCATTGATATGAAATCTCTCAAAGCCCTTGTTCTTTCTGGCTAATCGAGTCTTAAGATGTTTTCAGAGATTTCAAAAGGTGTGGTGAAGTTAGAAGAGCTTAATTTATCCAGGTCAAAAATTAAAGAACTGCCCTCGTCAATTAGTAATCTCACAGGGTTGTGTTATTTTGTCCTACGTGATTGCAAGGAACTTAAGAGTCTCCCAAGCTCTTAAAACCCTTGATCTTTCTTGCTGCTTGAGTTTTGAGTTGCTTCCAAAGATTTCAAAAGTTATGGAGAAACTATCAAGGCTTTATTTATCCGGATCAAAAATTGAAGAATTGCTGTTATCAATGAAAAATACGGGGTTGAGTTATTTGGGTCTAGAATTTTGCAAGGAACTTATTAAGAGTCTTCCAAGCAACATTTGTCAACTTGAATCTCCTAGAAATGTTACTCTTTATGGTTGCCCAAAATTTGATCTTCGTTCGGATGGAACATCTATCAAAGAGATTACCTGGTTTCAGGAGCTTGAGGGATTGAGAGACTGAAGAATCCTTGTTCATCTCGGTGGGTGCGCATATCTTTCTCAGTTACCTATCAAGTTTGAGGATTTAGTACGCTTGTGGGCAGTGGCGAATCTAGGATTTCAAGATCGGAGGGTATTAAGATAAAAGTTCAAAAAAAAAAAATTACACTACTTTGGTTCCATATCACTATTTTTTTTTGAAATTGGTTCATTGAATAATCAAAATTAATTAACCACATCAAGTGACCTAGTGGTAAAGGTGCGAATTTCGGCTCTCAAAATACGAAAAACAGGTAGGTCCTGGGTTCGAGGCTCCAAGCTGGTGAGTCTGCTTGACTGTGGTAAGGAGAAAGTTGAAATGTCTCTGTGAATCTTCCAGGCCCCTAGAAGGAGTGGATAACCGTGGCTTGCCACTAGTTGTCCCGCTTTAAAAAAAAAAATAATAATAATCAAGATTAATCTCAAAGGTAATAAAACCAACAAATTCTCCTCAGCAACATAACGAATCAATTAATGAATCTATGAAGATGAAATTTGTTAATGTAACATATATATTACAATTGAGAGTTGAGACTAGAGCTTAGAATTAAAAAAACTTAAATGAATTTGGAAGAAATAAAATTAGGCAGCTAGAGGTGGTGGAACGGCAAATGCTACTAGGGGACGGGTAACTTGAGTTTAAAGTTGGGAGGTTGCGACGATTTCGAGGATTAAAACAAAAATTAGAAACCTCTTCTTCTTCGTTATAAGCATTGCTGCACGCACATCCATGGAGGCAACAAGCCTCTTTGCTCCATCTGTCCAAATTGTTGAAGGATCCTAAAGGTCGATCATAAGTGTTTCTTCGGATTTCCAGAGGGTCCCAAGACCTTTTGGGTCCCTATATGGATCCATCCATGCTTGTGGGACAGTGCAGTAGAAGTTGATAATTGGGATACTGACATTTAGACATGTGTACTATACTCCTAAACATCATCCACATCCACTACAGAGTTCGGTAATGAAAGTTTGACACGTGTACAAACATCATTGGCATTCATGGCGGCTACACGCCATATGACAGAGCTTCGTCTTGGCCAAGGTCCCTCTCACCCAAACCCCCCAATTTCTAGGTAATCAAAATTCAAAACTTATTTTTGATTCGGAATTACATTTCTATCTAAAAAAAGAAATAATTTTCAGGGGTTTTGCGTACACTCTGACTGTGCTGATAAACACATGGATACGTTTTGAAGCAATCAATCGGTGGCTACGCCGCGTGCGGCGGCTTTCAATTGCTTATGTGATTATGTCGCCAGGGAGAGGTACTTTTGTTGCCTATCTTTTCCTTCGGGTTTGGCAGGTTCAATTGCTTATGTGCTGCTTTTATTTCTTAATACTTTTGATTTGTGCTCGTGCAGTGACTCTGAAGATAGTGGTATGTCAATACCCGTTGCTAACTTGTCAATGCCACCGGTGTTCCTCCAATTTGGGTGAAAGGTAGTTTGCATTTCCTTTTATCTCAGCATTTCTATATCTGCAAATTACAGTGGACGAGCTCTCTGAGTTTGTGTAAATGGCTATATTACTCTTAGATTAGATTGCTTTTTTGGCGAAAGTGGGGTGTAATGACGGGATTTTCAATTGCTTCTCGTATGCATCGTCAACACATTCGTAACTTAACAAATACAATCGAAAACTAACAACTCCAACTCTTGGAATTTATCGCTAAATAAACATGTGATCCACAGGGCCGGCCCTGGCCCAGTGAAAACGGGGCACCTTTGTAGGGCCCAAGTTTTTTTGAAGCACTTCTTCCTTCGCGAGTTGCGACAGCGGCCTCCAGAGCCTTTCTTCCAGACCAGTGCCGTTCCGCCGCATCTTTCCTTATTGCCTCTTGACCTTCGAAATCGGTGCAGAGATCGCCCAAAACTTGACTGAATGTAAAAGAATCGGTCGCCGTGGTTCACCGCTGCAGTCCCTCTGTGCGCACCTCATTGAGCTTTCCGGGTACTCTGCTCGGAGCACACAGTGAGTACTATACTAATATTTCACTAAAAAAATGCCCATTTATATGTTTAATTGTTAAATTTGTGATTAAATTCACTGCTGCTTGTTTTCTACTTATTGGGTTTGAGATGTGATGGACTAATAGAAGTCGTGTTTTTTTACTGCAATTTCTGTATGGTTTGAGATGTGAAGGACTAATGAGATTGCTTTGGTGGGGGTGTTCCCCCGTAACTGATCCGTAAGTAAAATATTGATTCTCTGGGTGCCTGATTAGTGAAGAGCCTTAATTTCATAGCTCCTTCCATTTTTTTCAACAATTTGGTCCTACTAAGTTGATTACTTGATTATTTCAAATTTTGAATGTATAGCTCACTATTTGGTGCCCCCTGATCTGCAGTTTTTAGGTTGCGTTGAAATTTCCTTACTTGAAACTAACTATTGGGTAAAGTGATGAACATCCATGGGAACCATGGGATACATTTTAAATTAGGCTCTAATGTGCTTCAAGCTCAATTGAACTTGGTTACTAGCTTTTCTTGATCTTAACCAGTTGATGCATGGTAATTAAATTCTCCAGAAGAATCACTGGGATTCGTCCTTGCAGATGAAGGTTTCCATGTATGGGTAGGGCATGTGTGTGGAACACGATGGATCATGGACACCCATCTTTATCAGAAAAGAATAAGATTTATGCTTTACTGTAGGATTTTTGGAATTGGAAGTTGGCAGGAATTGGCTCTACTTGATCTACCAGAAATGATGCATTGCATATATTCGACAACAAGCTCCAAAGTCCTTGTTGTTGGACATTCACAGGTCTTACACCTTTTCATCTATTTAACATCTCCTTCCCTTGCTGCAACTTCTGGTGTTTACTCAATTTATTCATGTTATCAGGGAACAATCATGTCTTCAGCTGCTCTCACCTAGCCGGATATAGCAGAAATGGTCGAAGCTGCCGCTCTTTGTCCAATTTGTAAATTGAGTATTTCTGTAGTTAAAATTTTCTTAGTATTAGCTGCTCGATCATTGCTGAGTCGCTGACCAGGTGCGATCGATTAATGGCTGCTTCTTCTTCTGGCCTTGGTGGGAAATACGATGTGTTCATCAATTTCAGAGGGGAAGACACTCGGAGGGGCTTCGTCAGCCATCTCTACAACGCTCTGGTTAAGAAACCAATCAACGCCTTCATTGATGCCGAAAAGCTCAGAAAAGGCGACCACCTTTCCGAGCTCCTGACAGCGATTCGAGAATCAAGGCTTTCGATTGTAGTTTTCTCTCAAAACTATGCTTCTTCCACTTGGTGCTTGAAAGAACTTGTGCAAATCCTGGAATGCAAGGATAACCAGATTGTACTCCCCATTTTCTATGAAGTTGATCCGTCTGATGTTCGTAAACTCAAGAAAAATTTCGCGGAAGCTTTTGCTCAGTACGATCGCGATACTAACGCTGAAATGGAAGAGGTTCAGAGCTGGAGATCTGCTCTTACCACTGCCACCAGTTTATCCGGCTGGGATTCGCGAAACTACGAGTAAATCCTAATTTGTTTTAGTTTCCTATTAATTTTTGGGATTTTTGTAACGTTTAGGGGTAATTTTATAAATATTTAGTTTTTAGTTTTTATTTCTATTTTTTTGAAAACTAACAGATGAAAAAGACCCATTAATTATTATTTGGTGGTGTTATTATTATTGTTTTTTAAATTTGACAGGAATGATGCAGTGCTTATTGAGGAAATTGTAGAAGATGTTTATCGGAAATTGATCGACATCTCTTCATCATCAAGGAAAGAGAATGGCTTGGTTGAAATGGATTCTCATATGCAGGAAATGCATTTATTATTATATCCTCCCGGAGGTGAAACGAATAATGTTTGCGTTGTTGGAATATGGGGTATGGGTGGTTTAGGCAAAACAACCATCGCCAGAGCTGTTTATGATGATATCGCTTGTCAATATGAAGCTTGTTGCTTTCTTGAAAATGTCAAGGAAGATTTCATGAAGCACGGCAAACTACATATGCAAACAGAACTTCTATCTAGTATCTCGAACAACAAGGTGGGGAGTTACGACATTTCGAAGAAAGGTTTCCAGGTGATGTTAAAAAGCCTTGGTCCGAGAAAAGTTCTTATTGTTGTTGATGATGTGGACGAATTAGAACAAATTGAAGCTTTACTTGGAGACCAACATTCATTTGGTGGTGGAAGTAGAATTATTATAACTAGAGATTCGCAATTACTAAGCATAGCTGATGAGATATATAAGCCCAATATTTTAAGTGCTTATGGAGCTCTGGAACTCTTTAGGCGGTACGCCTTTAGGAAAAACCAACCCAATAGAGATTATGATGATCTCTTGAGTCGTGCCGTAGAATATGCTCAAGGTCTGCCTTTGGCACTCAAAGTCTTAGGAGCTTTTCTTCTTAACAAAACTATACACGAGTGGAAAGATGAGTTAGAAAAAATAAGGAAAATCCCGCAAAGGGGAATTCATGATGTGCTTAAATCAAGCTTCGGTGGACTAGATGAAACAGAGAAGGACATCTTTCTAGATATTGCATGTTTCTTTAAAGGGATGAAGAAAGACTGTGCAATCGAAATTCTGGACAGTTGTGGTTTCCATCCTCATACAGGAATAAGAGTTCTGATCGATCGAGCTCTCATAACTGTCTCAGGGAAGGGGGAACTGGAGATGCATGATTTATTAGAGGAAATGGGTCGAGAAATCGTCCGCCAAGAATCTATCAAAGAGCCTGGGAGACGAAGTAGGTTGTGGAGTTTTGAAGATGTTCATCACGTGCTAACTCAAAATACGGTGAGAAATCTTTTTCTTTTGCAATTGCTAGTAGAAAGCTTCAACTTTTGACCAAAATCAATTTCTTAAGCCTGATTGATACCCCATTTTGTTTTCAATTTTTAATTTTTAGTTTTTATTGTTTTAATAATTGAAAATTGAAAACAATTAAACTAAAAACGAAATGATAGTTTAAACGAAATGATTATCAAACGGCTCCTTAAGAAACAAGCATTAATTTCATAATCTAAACTAAGGTTCTCTATATTTTCCTTTACTTTGCACAGGCTACGAAAGCAGTTGAAAGCATAATCGTGGATTTCTCATGCTCAAAGTGGGAATGCGTAAATGCTGAAGCTTTTGTTAGTATGACTCAACTAAGACTTCTCAAGATCGGTCATAGGGGCTACCCTTTTAAACATGATTACTGCAAACACCACCTGACTGTGACCTTTAAGTTACTTAACTTGAGGTATCTCTCCTGGTTTTATTTCCCTCTCAAGTCTTTGCCATCCAACCTTCAATTCAAAAATCTTTTGGAACTTGACATGCAATATAGTCTCATTAACCGACTTTGGGAAGGAACCCAGGTACGTACAATCATTACATGTATTTGTTTCTCTTAAATGTTTGGGTTTTGAGTGAGATGTCTTGATTAAATAATGCATGTTTTCCTGAATGCTTTAACAGATGCTGGAAAAGTTGAAATTCATCAATTTAAGTTATTGTATATACCTTAAGGAAACCCCTGACTTCACAAATGTGCCAAATCTTGAGAGGCTAATTCTTCAAAGTTGTATAAGATTAGTTGAGGTTCACCCGTCTATTTCGACTCTTACAAACCTTGTTTTATTGAATCTGAATGGGTGCATAGAACTTAAGATTTTACCCAGCAGCATTCGTATGAAATCTCTCAAAACCTTTAATCTTTGTGGCTGCTGTAGTCTTGAGATGTTTCCAAAGATTTCAGAAGTGATTGAGGGGTTAGAAGAGCTTGATTTATCCGGGTCAAAAATTAAAGAGCTGTCCTCGTCAATCAATAATCTCACGGGGATGAGTCATCTGAACCTAAAAAATTGCAAGGAACTTAAGAGTCTTCCAAGCAGCATTTGTATGAAATCTCTCAAAACCTTTAATCTTTATGGCTGCTGGAGTCTTGAGATGTTTCCAGAGATTTCAGAAGTGATTGAGGGGTTAGAAGAGCTTGATTTATCCGGGTCAAAAATTAAAGAACTACCCCCGTCAATTAATAATCTCACGGGGTTGAGTCATTTGAACCTAAAAAATTGCAAGGCACTTAAGAGTCTTCCAAGCAGCATTGGTATGAAATCTCTCAAAACCTTTAATCTTTTCGGCTGCTCGAGTCTTGAAATGTTTCCAGAGATTCCAGAAGTGATTGAGGGGTTAGTAGAGCTTGATTTATACACGTCAAGAATTAGAGAATTGCCATCATCAATTAATAATCTCACGGGGTTAAGTTATTTACGCCTAGATGATTGCAAGGAACTGAAGTATCTTCCAAGCAGCATATGTCAACTCAAGTACCTTGTCTGTCTCTCTTTCTGGTTGTACAAAATTTGAGGTGTTTCCAAGCATTGAAGAAAATATGGAAGGATTAAGAGAGCTTTTCTTGGATGGAACATCTATCAAAGAGCTTTTCCCCTGGATTGAACGGCTTACGGGGCTTCAGTATTTAAATCTGATAAACTGCAAAAGACTAGTACATCTTCCTGACACTCTGTATTTGGCACGCCTTATCATACACACATAGCTTCGTCTTGGCCTTGGTCCCTCTCCCCCCAACCCCAAATTTCTAGGTAATCAAAATTCAAACCCTACTTTTGATTCAGAATTAAATTTCGAAATTTGGGACATTTTATTATCTGAATAAAGAAATAATTTTCAGGGGTTTTGGGGTGCTCTCTGCTGATAAACAAATGGTTACGAAGCTCTGTTTTGAAGCAATCAATTGGGCACTACTCCGCATTGCGGCGGCTTTGGTGGAATTGGCGTGGTCAGACGGCTAGCCACGGCCGGATTTCTTCAAACCCCAAGAGGTGGCATTTCCAAGGAGTGGTACATAACTCCGCCGCCATAACTGTCTCAGGGGCGCAGGAACTAGAGATGCATGATACATTAGAGGAAATGGGTTGAGAAATTGTCCGCCAAGAATCTATCAAAGAGCCTGGGAGACGATGTAGGTTGTGGAGTTATGAAGATGTTCATCACGTGCTTACTCAAAATACGGTGAGAAATCTTTTTCTTATGCAATTGTAAGTAGAAAGCTTCAACTTTTGACCAAAATCAATTTCTTAAGCCTGATTGATACCCATTTTTGTTTTAATTTTTAATTTTTAGTTTTTATTGTTTTAATAATTGAAAATTGAAAACAATTCAACTAAAAACGAAATGAGAGTTTAAACGAAATGATTATCAAACGGCTCCTTAAGAAACAAGCATTAATTTCATAATCTAAACTGAGGTTCTCTGTATTTTCCTTTACTTTGATTTGCACATGCTACAAAAGCAGTTGAAAGCATAATCGTGGATTTCTCGTACTCAGACTGGGTATGCTTAGATGCTGAAGATTTTATTAGTATGACTCAACTAAGACTTCTCAAGATCAGTCATAAGTACTCAATTTTTAAACATGATTACTGCAAACACCACTCGATTGGGCCCTTTAAGTTACTTAACTTGAGGTATCTCTCCTGGTTTGAATTCCCTCTTAAGTCTTTGCCATCCAGCTTTCAATTCAAAAATCTTGTTGAACTTGACATGCAATTTAGTCTCATTGACCGACTTTGGGAAGCAACCGAGGTACGTACAATCATTACATGTATTTGTTTCTCTTAAATGTTTGGGTTTTGAGTGAGATGTCTTATGAAGTAATGCTTGTTTTCCTGAATGTTTTAACAGACGCTGGAAAAGTTGAAATTCATCAATTTAAGTTATTGTCAATACCTCAAGGAAACCCCTGACTTCATGAATGTGCCAAATCTTGAGTGGCTAATTCTTCAAAGTTGTATAAGATTAGTTGAGGATCACCCGTCTATCTCGACTCTTACAAACCTTGTTTTATTGAATCTGAATGGGTGCCAAGAACTTAAGATTCTACCCAGCAGCATTCGTATGAAATCTCTCAAAGGTTCTGTTGGAAATTTGGTGCCGCGTGATCTGAAGTTTTCAGGTTCTGTTGGAATTTCGTTTCTTGAAACTAACTATTTAAAATTAGGCTCTAATTTGCTTCAAACTCAATTGTAATTGGTTACTGGCTTTTCTTGATCTTAACCACGTGATGCATGGTTCTTAAATTCTCCAGAAGAATCGCTGTGATTCGTCCTTGCAGATGAAGGTTTCAATGTATGGGTAGGGAATGTGCGTCAAACACGTTGGAGTCAGGGACACACATCTTTATCAGAAGAGAACAAGATTTATGCTGTACTGTAGGATTTTTGGGAATTGGAGTTGGCAGGAGTTGACTCTATTTAATCTACCAGAAATGATGCGCCGCAGATATTTGACAACAAGCTCCGAAGTCTTCGTTGCTGGACATTCACAGGTCTTACACCTCTTCATCTACTTCACATCTTCCCTTGCTGCTACTTTTGGTGTTTATTCAATTTATTCATGTTTTTAGGGAACAATCATGTCTTTAGCTGCTCTCATCCAGCCGATATGGCAGAACTGGCTGAAGCTGCCGCTCGTTTGTACATTTTGGATTCAACATGTGATGGCTATGTTGACCGTTTGGAGTGCTTGTGTATGATTTTGCTTTTGATCGTCAGGGTTTCGGTACTATGTTCCCCCGGCTGTATGTTTTTTCTTCAAGTAATATAATATGGGCGTGAGGGCCTAGCCCTCTAGCTTTGATTGGGTTCCAGCCCTCTTTAAATATTTTTTTTTTACTTTTTGCTGTTGTACTGGACAAAAGGCACATTTTGAGGGTTCGCGGGCACCAAAAAACCCAGGAACACCCCTGGTGGTCTAATATCCTTATGGATAGGTGTTAAGTTTTTATCTATACGTCTCGAGTTCAAAACTCCTTTTATAATGTAATGGTTTCGAACTTTCTCTTTAATAATAGAAATTTTCTTTTCTAAAAAAAATGTATGTAAAGAATTTGTGTAATTTTGAACGCAAGAAATAAAAATAGTTAACTGAGTCACTCATTAAAATTATTAATCTCACGTTTAATCATCTTATATATGAATGAGAGTGTTTTATTTTATTTTATATTTTTATTACGAACGATATTTTACATTAATATATATGTATGTATGTATGTATGTATGTATGTATGTATGTATGTATGTATATGTGTGTGTGTGTATATATATATATATATATATATATATATATATAAAAGAGAGGGAAAAATGTTTAAACTCAAAACACAATGAGTTAAAAAATAGACCCCATGATTAGAGCAATTAATCACCTGCAATTCTTGTCTTTCTAGTTCTAAGTAAACGTAAAATGTTTGTATGAGGCAAGTAACCCTCTCAACAGTAATGATTTTAGGAAGGCCGAAGTGTTTGACTGCACAAAGCTTTCTAAAATCTCAAAGATGCCCACCGTAGTTAACTTTTTATTTTCGACGTTTATCATCCTATAATAAAATTTTAAATGTGACATACTACTCGAATCTAACGATACCAGGTCCACTAAAAATCTTTTTTTTCTTTTTTTTTTTCCCTGAAAAACAAGGAAGAAAAATGTGAGAAGAATCAATCACTTCTCTTCATTTTTTTTTTAGAACTTTAACGAAAAGCATTCGGTACTGTTCATTTTAATGAAAAATCACTTTTTTTATATTAAAAAGTCAATCATAATATTATTCACTTTATCTTTTATTTTATCTTTATCATTAAAACTCAAAGTTTTTAAATCATTTTTATTATTTTTTTTTTTCTTTGCTGTTCACTCACTCTATCTCCCTCCCTCTCTCCTAATCCTAAAGTTCGGTAGTTGACACATGTTCTACACATGGTTTTTTTTTTTTTTTTTTTTTTTTTTTGGGAACAAAGGCAACATATAATCAACTACAAACATTACAACGGGCCAAAATATACAAAGCAAAGGTCCAAAACCGAAATACAAAAACAAAGAACAGCAACCCAACCAAAAGTTGAGACCAAAACAAAAGAAAACCCAGAAACATCCTCGTCCGCAGCATTGCCCGCCACCACCGCCACTACAACCATCAAAATAGCAGCCGTGCATGTCGATCTATCCAAAATCTTGCCCCAAATTAAACCGCGCCTCATTGATACCTCTGAGCATAGCTACAGACCACCAACAACCTGCAGCCAATTGAAAGAAGCTCGTGGGAGTCTACAAGCAACACTGCCAACAAAAGGCAGACAACAAAGAGAGGGTGACGGTGCAAGGAACACCCGACACAGTGAAAGCACCAGATCGATACACACCCACTCAAAACACCGCAACAAAACGCGGTCAAAGGTGACTGAAGCTCGGAAATTGGATGAAGATGGATGAGAGACAGGGGAGAGAGGAAGGCAGATCAGCCAAGAAACCCAAGGAAAAAAACAGCGGATGGAAGTAAAGAAAGAGAGGAAGAAAGAAACAAAAGAAAATCCACCGATCCCACAGAACGGTGAGAATCACCCTCAACCAGAGGGAAGGTCTCTCACAGGAGAGAAAGTTCAATTTTATTTGTGGTTCTCTGCACAATGTGCACATGTTCGCTGCTTCAAGATTTACATTTTTTGTGTCTCTACTTGCACCATCGCCATTTCACAGAGAGCCTTCTTCTCTGCTTCTCTGGAATTTACCAGTGAAGGAAAGCTGGAGAGAAACAGAAAGGAAAACTCTACCTTCTGGTTTGAGAGAGAGATGCTCTGCTCCGGCAGACTTTTGGCCGTTTCTTTCGCCCGTAAATCGGTGCTGTCCGTACAAACTGCATGGCTCCGGCTGCTCCAAATTCAGCTAAACAAGAAGCCCTATATCAACAAGCAGCTCCAGATGGAGATCCCTAGCCATGGCTTCGGAGCCCGACTCCTCCTCTTTCGCTCCGTCTGTCGATTCTGATCCCAATCCCGCTGCCGATACAAATCCCGCCGGGTACTTACAGCTTACTGGTATTTGAAAGTTCGTAACTTTATGGGAAAAACCCATGTGATTTATCTGATGTTGATGTTAATTAACCCAAAAATGATACGGAAATTGGTTTGTAGACTGTAATTTTTAGTTTTTACATGCTTAATTGTGCAGATTTTGTATCAGAGAGGGGCCTGAAACAGTGCAGGACGTTGCCGCAATGGAGCTGCAGAAAATTCAAGATAATATTCGGAGTCGTTGCAACAAAATTTTCGTGCATATGGAGGAGGTGAGAGCAATTGCTAGTTGCTACCACTTTCTCAGTTTAGCATGTTTTAAATTACTCTCCAATTGCCATTAGAAATGTGCTCTTTAAGAATGAGCTTCGATATGCGTAGGTTCGCAGGCTGAGGATACAACAGCGGATTAAACGCGCAGAGCTTGGAGCGGTAAATGAAGACCAAGAAAACGAACTTCCTAGTTTTCCATCATTCATTCCATTTTTGCCTCCCCTGGTAAGCTGCTGCCACTGTGAAGACATGTATTTTCATATCCCCGGCATGTTTTAGCCATATTTTGTTGTAGCCTTTTGTCGGTTCATAAAAATTTGCGAAAACTAGTGTTTATGCAGAGTATTAATCACAAGGTGAATGCATTGCTTGCAGAGTTCATACAACCTTAAGCAGTTTTATGCTGTTTGTTATTCAATTATTGCGGGGTTTATCCTTTTCAGTGGCCTCATAGCACCCTCTGAAAGTTCTTTATGCATTAACTTCTTGTGAGATTCACAATTACTAAGCATAGCTGATGTGATATATAATCCCAAGACTTTGAGTGATTCTGGAGCTCTGGAACTCTTTAGGCGGCATGCCTTCGGAAAAAACCAACCCACCAGAGATTATGATAATCTCTCGAATCGTGACGTATGCTCAAGGTCTGCCTTTAGCACTCAAAGTTTTGGGAGCTTTTCTTCGTAAAAAAACTATACACGAGTGGGAAGATGAGTTAGAAAAAATAAGGAAAATCCCGCAAAGAGGAATTCATGATGTGCTTAAAACAAGCTTCAATGGACTAGATGACATAGGGAAAGACATCTTTCTAGATATTGCATGTTTCTTTAAAGGGATGAAGAAAGACCATGCAACTGAAATTCTGGACAGTTGTGGTTTCCATCCTCATACAGGAATAAGAGTTCTAATGGATCAAGCTCTCATAACTGTCTCAAAGGAAGGGGAACTGGAGATGCATGATACATTAGAGGAAATGGGTCGAGAAATCGTCTGCCAAGAATCTATCAAAGAGCCTGGGAGACGAAGTAGGTTGTGGAGTTATGACGATGTTCATCACGTGCTAACTCAAAATACGGTGAGAAATCTTTTTCTTATGCAATTGTTAGTAGAAAAATTCAACTTTTGACCAAAATCAATTTCTTAAGCCCGATGGATACCCATTTTTGTTTTCAATTTTCAATTTTCAGTTTTTATCGTTTTAATAATTGAAAATTGAAAACAATTAAACTAAAAACGAAATGAGAGTTTAAACGAAATGATTAACAAACAGCTTCTTAAGAAGCAAGCATTAATTTCATAATCTAAACTAAGGTTCTCTGTATTTTCCTTTACTTTGATTTGCACAGGCTACAAAAGCAGTTGAAAGCATAATCGTGGATTTCTTGTACTCAGATTGGGGATGCTTAAATGCTGAAGATTTTATTAGTATGACTCAACTAAGACTTCTCAAGATCAGTCATAAGGACTAAATTTTTAAACTTGATTACTGCAAACACCACTTGATTGGGCCCTTTAAGTTACTTAACTTGAGGTATCTCTCCTGGTTTAAATTCCCTCTCAAGTCTTTGTCATCCAACTTTCAATTCAAAAATCTTGTTGAACTTGACATGCAATTTAGTCTCATTGACCGACTTTGGGAAGGAACCGAGGTACGTACAATCATTACATGTATTTGTTTCTTTTAAATGTTTGGGTTTTTAGTGGGATGTCTTATTAAGTAATGCATGTTTTCTTGAATGTTTTAACAGACGCTGGAAAAGTTGAAATTAATCAATTTAAGTTATTGTCAATACCTTAAGGAAACCCCTGACTTCACAAATATGCCAAATCTTGAGAGGCTAATTCTTCAAAGTTGTATGAGATTAATTGAGGTTCACCCGTCTATTTCGACGCTTACAAACCTTGTTTTATTGAATCTGAATGGGTGCCAAAAACTTAAGATTCTACCTAGCAGCATTCGTATGAAATCTCTCAAAACCTTTAATCTTTTTGGCTGCTCCAAACTTGAGATGTTTCCAGAGATTTCAGAAGTGATTGGTTTATTCGGGTCAAAAAAATTAAAGAACTGTCCCCGTCAATTAATAATCTCATGGGGTTGAGTCATTTGGACCTAGAAAATTGCAAGGAACTTAAGAGTTCCAAGCATCATTTGTATGAAATCTCTCAAAACCTTTAATCTTTCTGTCTACTCGAGTCTTGAGATGTTTTTAGAGATTGCAGAGGGTATGGAGGAGTTAGAAGAGTTTAATTTATCTTGGTCAAAAATTAAAGAACTACCCCTGTCAATTAATAATCTCACGGGGTTGAGTCATTTGAACCTAAGATGTTGTGTGGAACTTAAGAGCCTTTCAAGCAGCATTCGTATGAAATCTCTCAAAACCTTTAACCTTTCTGGCTGTTCCAGTCTTGAGATGTTTCCAGAGATTTCAGGAGTGATTGAGGGGTTAGAAGAGCTTAATTTATGCGGGTCAAAAATTAAAGAACTACCATCGTCAATTAATAAACTTACAAGGTTGTGTTATTTGGTCCTAAGTGATTGCAACGAACTTAAGAGGCTTCCACGCAGCATTTGTATGAAATCTCTCAAAACCTTTAATCTTTCTGGCTCCAGTCTTGAGATGTTTCCAGAGATTTCAGAAGTGATTGAGGGGTTAGAAAAGCTTGATATATCCTGGTCAGAAATTCAAGAACTGCCCTTGTCAATTAATAATCTCACGAGATTGAGACATTTGAACCTAAATTATTGCAAGGAACTGAAGTGTCTTCCAAGCAGCATATGTCAACTCAAGTTCCTTGTCTGTCTCTCTCTTTCTGGTTGTATAAAATTTGAGGTGTTTCCAAGCATTGAAGAAAATATGGAAGGATTAAGAGAGCTTTCCTTGAATGGAACATCTATCAAAGAGCTTTCCCCTTGGATTGAACGGCTTACGGGGTTAGAAAAGCTTGATTTATCCGGATCAAAAATTGAAGAACTGCCTTCGTCAATTAATAATCTCACGGGGTTGGGTTATTTAGGCCTAGATGATTGCAAGGAACTTAAGTGTCCTCCAAGCAGCATTCGTATGAAATCTCTTAAATTCCATAATCTTTCTAACTGCTCGAGTCTTGAGAAGTTTCCAGAGATTTTAGAAGTGATTGAGGGGTTAAAGGAGCTTGATTTATCCGGGTCAAAAATTAGAGAACTGCCCTCGTCAATTAATAATCTCACGGGGTTGTGTCATTTGAACCTAAATTATTGCAAGGAACTTAAGAGTCTCCCAAGCAGCATTTGTCAACTCAAGTCCCTTGTCAGTCTCTCCCTTTCTGGTTGTACAAAATTTGAGGTGTTTCCAAGCATTGAAGAAAATATGGAACGATTAAGAGTGCTTTTATAGGATGGAACATTTATCAAAGAGCTTTCCCCCTGGATTGAACGCCTTACGGGGCTTCAGTATTTAAATCTGAGAACTTGCAAAAGACTTGTACATCTTCCTGACTCTGTAATTTGGCACGCCTTATCACAGAGACATAGCTCCCTTGGCCTGGGTTCCTCTCCACCGCAACCCCCCAATTTCTAGGTAATCAAAATTCAAACCCTATTTTTGATTCGGAATTGAATGTCAAAATTTGGGAAATTTTATTATATGAATAAAGAAATAAATTTCAGGGGTTTGGGTACTCCGTGATGGTAAACACATGGAAACGAAGCTCCATTTTGAAGCAATCAATCGGACACAACGCCGTGTTGTGGCGGCTTTCGTAGAATTGGCGTGGTCAGAAGGCTAGCCACAGCCCCATTTTTTGAATTCCCAAGAGGTGGCATTTTCCATGGAGAGGTACATAACTCCACGGCCGGATTCTTTTGATTTGTGCTTGTGCAGAAACTGTGAAGATATTGGCATGTCAATTCCCGTTGCTAACTTGCTAATGCCGCTGGTGCTCCTCCAATTTGGGTGCAAGGTACTTTGCATTTCCTTTAATTTTAACATTTATATATCTGCAATTACAGTGGATGAGCCCTCTGAATTTGTGTAAATGATGTGGGGTATAATGATGGGATTTTCAATTGCTTGTTGTTTGAATCATCAGCAAACTCTGCATTCATCAGTAAAACAATGATATTCAATACAACGAACAAGAGCTGCTATGCAGCCTTTTAAGTTTTGCAGAAAATTGCATAGTTGACATCCGTCTTGCCTTAACAAATACAACGGAGAAGTTACAACTCAAACTGTTAAAGTTTTCCCAATTTGTGGACAGATTACTTCGTACATTTTGCTTGGTGATTGCTTCCCTTCATGTTTTAGTTGCATGCTCACATAAAATCTGCCAAAAATACACATTTGTCAAGATTTTAAATCCCTTTGTGCACCATTTATTCCGCTGATGAGTTTGATCTTAAAGTTACTTTTGTTGGAAAATTTTGATCTTGAAGTCTGGCACGCATGCTTTTGCGGGGAAGATGCATGAGATTGCATTGTCTGGAATTAGCAGTCTAAAACGGCACAACAAGAGGAGGAATAAATAAGAGCCTCAACGATTTCATCTCTCTCTTCGGAAGAATGTACCTTGTACCAACTAATGCTAAAGCTCTAGACGCTAGAATTGAATGGTTCTGGTAGATATTTCTAGCATCTGTATAAGTACTGTTTGGAGAAGGACGTTATCGCGATTCAGGGCCGGCCTTGGCCCAGTGCAAACAGTGCACCTGTCCAGGGCCGAAATTGTTTTGGGGCACTTCGGGAATCGCGACAGTGGTGACCAGAGCCTTTTTTCCAGACCAGTGCCCTTTGGTCGCAGTTTTCCTTATCAGCCTCTTGACCTCCAAAATCGCTGCAGAAATTGCCCAAAACTCGACTGAATTTTACAGAATTGGTCGCTGTCGTTCACCGCTGCAGTCCTCTGCGTGCAACTCATTGAGCTTTCTGGGTACTCTTGCTCCGAGCACACAGTGAGTACTATACTAATATTTCACTAAAAAATGCCCATTTATATGCTTAATTGTTAAATTTGTGATTAAAGTAACTTTGAGATACCCAGACTGTTAAATCCACTGCTGCTTGGTTTCCAGATTCAGACGAAAGATGGGTACTTACTGGATTTGAGATGTGAAGGACTATTAGAAGTCGTGTTTGCTAGTGCAATTTCTGTATGGTTTGAGATTTGAAGGACTATTGAGATTGCTTTGGTGGGGAGTGTTCCCCATGACTGATCCGTGAGTAAAATATTGATTCTCTGGACGCCTGATTAGTGAAAAGCCTTGCTTTCATAGCTCCTTCCAATTTTTTCAACATATTGGTCCTACTAAGTTGATTATTTCAAACTTTGAATGTATAGCTCAATATTTGGTGCCCCCTGATCTGAAGTTTTCAGGTTCAGCTGGAATTTCCTTTCTTGAAACTAACTATTGGGTAAATTGATGAACATCAATGGGATACATTTTAAATTAGGCTCTAATGTGCTTCAAACTCAATTGAAATTGGTTACTGGCTTTTCTTGATCTTAACAGGTGACGCATGGTTCTTAAATTCTCCAGAAGGATCTCTGGGATTCATCCTTGCAGATCAAGGTTTTGATGTATGGGTAGGGAATGTGCATCAAACACGTTGGAATCATGGACACACATCTTTATCAGAAGAGAATAAGGTTTATGCTTTATTGTAGGATTTTTGGGATTGGAGTTCACGGGAATTGGCTCGGTTTGATCTATCAGAAATGATCCGCTGCAGATATTCGACAACAAGCTCCGAAGTCTTTGTTATTGGAATTCACAGGTTTTACACCTCTTCATCTACTTCACATCTCCTACCCGTGCTGCTACTTTTGGTGTTTTCTCAATTTATTCATGTTATCAGGGAACGATCATGTCTTTGGCTGCTCTCACCCAGCCGGATATAGCAGAACTGGTTGAAGCTGCCGCGCTTTTCTGTCCAATATCATACTTGGAGCATATCACTTCTAAATTTGCTTAGAGTGGTTAACATATATGTTGATCAGGTATTCCCTACCTTCTTCAAAGTATAGCGCATGAATAGCTTGTGTAATAAAATTGATGCATATGTTCATCTTTTCAGATGACTCTTTTTACTTGATGTTATGAGATTATATTAGTAGTAATCTTGTTATCTTTACTATATATGCAGCGAATGGGGCGTCAACCTTTTTGATTCAATATGTGATGGCCATGTTGATTGCTTGGAGTGGTTGTATATGATTTTGTTTTTTATCATTGGGGTTTGCGTACTATGTCCCCTCGTTGTATGTTTATTCTTCAAGTAATATAATATGGGTGTGAGGGCCTAGCCCCCCAGCTTTGACTGGGTTCTAGCCCTCTTTTAATATTTCTTTTTAATATATGTTGCTGTATTGGAAAAATGTATATTTTGAGCATTCGCCCCGGACACAAAAAAACTCAGGACCAGCCCTGTCCAATGTCCTAGTGGAATGGTGTTAGGTTTCTACTCATGCGTCTTGAGTTCGAAACTCTCTGTCTACTAATGTAATAGTTTCGAACTCTTCTTTTAATAATAGAAAATTTTCTTTAAAAAAAAAAGTAAAAGAGTGTGCAAAGAATTTGTCTGATTTTGAACGCATAAGAAATGAAAATAGTTAAATGAGTGACTCATTAAAAATATTAAATGATACTAAATTTATAGGCCGACCACTACAGAGGAGCGAGGGATAGCTGTCCGAGGGCTGAAAGCCAGTAGGAAACCAGTCGTTTCAACTTGCTCCGATCCCAGCTCCTTGTATTTGGAAGGAACTTTGGATTGCAGCGTTGTTGCCGGGAAGAATGTGATTTGTGACAGTGGTATTTGGCTCAGAGTGCAAGAAGGACAGGTGATGAAAGATGCAGGATCCATTGGTATGATTTTGGCAAACACAGCTGCTAATGGAGAGCCAACATTTCTCTCCACTACTTTACCTCCCATAGCATTAAGCTTAGCTTTATTTTTTTAGCTAATGTCAAATTACTTTCCACTACTTTAGAGAGAAGAAAAGGAGATGCCATCTCTTCCTTTAAACTATTCTTCATTTAAATATATTAAATCGAAGGGCACAAAGAAATTACTTTTCATTTGAATATATTAAAGAAAGTTTCTAGACCTGCCTCATTGTTTTATTTATCCATCCACATTATAATCTCATTCACAATAAAAAGTTACCAAATTAAGATGTTATTTTCTCACCAACTTTTATTCCTAAAATATCCTCATTAATTAGCACTATCTCTCCATCTTGAGCTTGTCTCTAAAATTATTGCACCAGTGGAGAAATAGTTTTAGAGTGCTCAGTGACAGACTTTGCACCATTTTTTTTTTATACTGATCGAACTCGATACCCTTTACAGAAGACTACCCTTCCCCAGTTCTTGTTCCACACTTGTGCATAGAAATATCAGCATCTTATACATATGCAGCAAGTCCACATTACAATCAATTCAGGCTGATATCCATTGTTGAACATCCAAGCAAAACAAAAACATTAAATTTGAACCGGAGAGTGGCCGATGAAAGCAGAGAAGAAGCACACTATGATTGCCTGTTTGTCTTCGTCTTCAAAAATTTTATGAGAATTAATTTGCAGAAAATGTAGAATATAGTGTGGAACTAGAACGATTTCAAGCTAAGTCGCACTGGGATTTTATCGTTGAGTTGGGGTTTAAGGGTAGATAAATCATTTGGGAACAGAATGCTATCTTTTAAGGTTTTTATTGGTCATTTTACAAATGAGTAAACTTGTGATTAAAAATTTCATTAAAAAATGGGTGAGGAGACAAGACACTAAAGTGAGAATAACAACACTTATATTAAATGAAAGAGCACGAAAACCTTGCTTGTGCCTGACCAAAATTGTATAAAATGTTTGTCATTAATGTTATTGAAGGGACATAGCAAGACCACATACTTTCGTGCTCAAATTTTAAAAGGAAAACTAATGAAAAGTTAAAAAAAAACTTTAATTTTAATGAAAAATGACAAATAAATGTGTAAATGAATAGTATCAGGAAAGGTAAAAATATGGTTTTTCGTTAAAAGTGAATAGTACCAGAAGTATTTGTAAAACTCCCAATTTTAAAAGGCACATATGCAGACTCGGTTCAGGGTTTTAAAGAGCAGAACATCTTTTGAACTAAGTATTATAAAAATTGAAAATATAACTACAGACCTTGAAACCTGATATAAGTTTTTTGCTTGAATAAAACTCATTGACTAGATTCCACATCAGCAAATTCATTAATTATGTGTGATTTTATACATTAAAATTTTTTTGGATGCCTAAAATACCTCTATTTGGATGATTGATGTACATAATTAAATCCATGCAAATTATAGAGGAGAATTAATAATTTTACAAAAAGAGGAAAAAACAATAATGTTAACATTCATTGCCTAATATATTATAACAACAAAACATGCATAATATATTTAACAATACATGTTAATTAAGTCACGAAATTTATATTTGACATATAATTTAGGAAATTATTTTACACACACATATAATTAAAAAATAAAGCCTAATATATATGAAAACATGCATACAAAATAATTTACCTACAAAATATGGAATTATTTGATTCAAAACTAATTTACTTATATTTTGTAATTATTTGCAGATAAAATAATTTACTTACAAAAATAAATATCGTGCTAATATAAATAAATTTATATATAGGTAGTTAATTTGTACGAAAATAGAGACATGTTATTTGATTCAATTAATTAACCTACATTTTACATAAGTGAGAATTTGCTTTGGACTACTAAGTGAGAATTCTTTCGATTAAAGCTTGGATGTGCAGTTTTTCTTTTTATATTTTATTTTAACATGATTATTACATCATAATGCTTGTGTACCAATTGACACTTGACAAGATCATCATAATGCTTGTGTACCAATTTGATAGCTTGACAAGATGCTGAATACAATTCTTTCATTTTTCACGTTCGTGTTCTCATGCTCTCTCTCTTACACAGGATGGAATTGGGCTTCTGATGGATATGATCTCAGAGTGTGTCCAACTGTGTACGAGAAGTTGAGCAAGGTTATTGGTAGTGACTATGCAATCAGAGGTTATCTTTCAACCCATCCATCCGGGAAAAAGAGAGCTGAGTTGTTGGCTCAAGCTATGATTCATGTACTAGTCTGTAACTCTTGCATGTGTTCTCAATTTCATATGTCACTGGTTGTCAACAATCACAAACTCTCTCCTTGTCATTTCTGTGATTTAGTAACACGTTTGTATATAAATACGACCTAAGTTTCTTTTCTTCATCTTCTCCATAAGTGCCATGGATTTGCTTTCCACTATTTTACGGGCTGGTTTGGTATTGCTGTGTTTTGAAAAAAAACTGCTTCTACTGTGCTGTGAGAATAAGCAGCTGTGAAATAAAGTAGTAGAGTGTTTGGTAAACTTTTTTACAAAAGTGCTTTTGAGAAAAAAAAAAGTAGTATTATAGTGTTTGATAAACTTTTATGTAAAACAAATGTGAAAAAAAACCGGTTTTTCAAAGCTAGGTTTTGCAGCTTCTTATTTTTTATTTTTTTTTCACCCAAAACTGTGAAAAAAAGCTGAAGCTGAAAGTTTACTAAACACAAAAATAACTCCCAACTTTTTTTTATACCAGTTTTTTCAGAATCACCTCAATACCAAACCAGGTCTCCTATAGCATTAAGCTTAGCTTTAATCATTAATAATCGCATGCCATGAATAAAACGTAGATTATGCAAGTTCTAATCTAGTCAATTTTTTTTATTTTAAATTTCATAATAGCAAGAGCAATGTCTCCTTACATAATATGGATTCCAAACATGCATTCATGATCTGGATATATGAATGAGTCAAATTACTTATCCCTCGGTCTATTAGTGAACTAGCTCTCCATGGATTGTGAAGGGTGTTCCATTAGAAATATTCTTGTTATTACTTCGACTTGTATTTAGGCAATTTGTGAAGTTCTAGTAGTTGGTAGTTAAAAACATATACATCAAAGATTTCAGAGTAGTACCTTCACTACCATGACATCAGATTAGAAGCCAAACAACCATTAATCGCTTGCTTTATGTCCGCAATACCGTTGGATATGGCACATATGTGGTATGCGTACACGTAATCAGAGACATTTCCAGTCACTCTAACTCACTCTTCATGTGAATAGGGAGATCGGAATATATTTCTAGTTTAAAAAGAAGCTGTTGGGTAGGCAAGTGTAGATTCAATGCGTGTGTTATTAATGCTGTTGAATAAATAATTTTTCAATGTAAAGTAATGCATTTGATATTCCAGATGCCTAAATGTCATTCGATAGTTATTTGGATTTACTATGATATGATATGGTGGTATTAAAAATTAGGCATAAGAAATGTGTTTGGAAGTGTCATCTTAAATATGTCACGTCCAAATTTATCAAGAGAAGACGAGAGAATTACCGTCGGATAGTGAATGCTCGTGCGATTTCCAAATAACACCAGTTTCATGGTGCATTAACTCTAATCTGAGCATCTCTTTGACCCATAATCAGTTTCATTCATATAAGTCCAATACACGTAAGTTCTTCACGTGCTGGCATGCCATGGCCAAACTTGCAGTTCACTGGGAATCAGTTTCATTTCATATTAGTTCTAGCGGTTGCCACAGTAATTACATTGGTAATTGCTGGCACCAACCTGTATTTTCCTTTTGCAATAACTATAACTCAAAACTGCCGTTTTGTAAGCTTGCTCTTGTGATTCTTTAACACGCAGGGGACATGTATCTAAACCAGCTGCAACATATCGGACTGAGTGTGGAGGCTTGGCGTGCAAGGTTAGTTCACAGGGTAATTACTTTATGCTAGAAGTTTAATCCTAATGCGCATTTTGCAATAGTTCTTAGCAGTGGAGCCTTATCAATTTGGGTCTATTATATGGTCTACCTTGATATATAATTTCTTTTTCTGTTATCAATAAAATTCTCCTTCGTACCACCGAATTTAGAAAAAAAATGATTCACCCCCACATGCCTCCTTGAAATTCCTAAGAATTATATTAGAACACCACTTTAGTTAATACAAAAAAATAGTTAATACAACGATCTAGTAGATTGTGGTCCTAAGTTCAAATCTTGTAAAATGTTGATCTTGAATAACTGTTCTTTATTATCCTTTCACATTTGGATCTTTTCTCTTATCACTTTAGTTTATTGTATAGTAGTTGTTGTCATGCTACTTCTCAAATGCTTCCACATTTCAACCTAAAATAATGCATTATCGATAGTTGAATAATTGTAACCACCGCTAAGAAGTCATTGTTATAGTCTATTTGATAGTCTTTGTCCTTTCGTATTCGTTTCTTTCCTCTTTTCCTCTCTCTTTCACTACACCTTCCAGGCTGGCGGTATGTCATTTCTCAAGTCTATATGCAAACATTATAGTATTATAAACTTTCATTTTTGTGAACTGAAGGAGCTTGACTTGGGTTTAAGTATTTCAGTATCATCCGTTCAGCAACACAAACACAACGACTGCCATTTTTTTCATACATATATGTTCTCTATACACACTTTTTGTTATAATGAGTGTAGCTTATATTGAAGTCACCGTTTACAGTAGGATATTGATATCAATGACAAGAACCACTAGGACTTGGAGTTGAATGAAGCAGCAGCGAAGCTAGGAATTGTCAAGAGAGGCACGAAATTTATAAAGGTAAAAGGTTCTAAAAAAATATAGACATCCAAATTCTTTAGATATTAGACAATATTAATGTTATTCATAATTTATCAACACAAACAAGTTACAATTATTGTCGGCGAGGTTTTATGCTATGAAAACATCGCATATATAGACTCATTATTAATAAAAGTAAAAACATCCTTCTCTTTACAAACTATCACTCAACTATTGATCTCCTATTTTGTTACGCAATGATATTTTTATTCATAATAGAAAATGTTTTCTCTCCTAAACGGTCGTAACCGGTAACATAAAAGCCAATATAAAAATGCATAGGGTCAGATGCCCTATTGTTGTAGTGTGGCTGCCACCACTGTAAATCCTTCACTGTATTATTTATTTTTGGCGCGAATTAATTTCAATGTGTGTTTTTATTAATGCTTTTGAATAA